CTAGTCTTCTCGGATAGGGACGAATAAATGGAGGTCCCATCTCCTGCAGGGTTAGGGGTAGGAGATGTTAATTTCCCATGTATGAGATTACTGTGTGATGGATGTCCTCCCCTGGGGTGGGATGGGTGGGTTGTTGTCTTGCATTTCATACACGAGCCTCTGGCTCGGGCAATATGGGTAACTATGCCCCACATAAAGACATTAAACTTTGATTACGATTTTACTATTACTATTACTATGAGAATCAAGGATATGATTCCCAACTAAAGAAGCTCTCGACTGTTAAACAATTCTACTTGTCAGCACCTTAGGAAAAGTCTTTAGAATATGCATATTGTGGGGAGAATATACCTATTCATGTTAAGAGTGAGCCAGTGTACGTGAGTGATTCAGTGAGGAAGGGAGAGAAAGTTATACCAATATATCTGTCCCCAGGCTGGTTTATGCACTGTTTACATGACTTATATTAAATAATCAAAGTTCATTTCTCTAAATTTCCCTGCAGCCACACTGAGCCATAGCATATAGTACATATGACTTACAAAAGAATTTCCAGTTCATATCATTTTTCTAAAGAAGTGGCTTAAGTAAGTAGCAAGTGTGTAGAGCAAGTATTTAAAAAGCACCACCTTCAGCACAGGTGATTGTGAGCAATATATTGTGTATATTGTGGTGCTAAAAGCAAACAAGTGATGCACTAGGATTATTTTATGTACAACATATAAATCCTTTACAAAGTGTGTGCTCTTATAAAGAGACTAAAATTAAAGAGAATTCCATAGGGGAATAAAAATAATAAACACTGTTTGATAAACTACATGGTGTATTATTTGTATGTAAGGTATAATTTTGTAGAAAATATGAATAGGTGTGAGCGTCAGCTCTAACAGAAGTTTAAAAAAGTAGCAAACAGAACAAGCTAGAATGCTGGTATATATGCTGGTAAGCTAGAATGCTGGTATGCAATGTTTATGGAATCCGATGTGTTCAATAAACATATACCACTGGTCACCTGACGGGTGAAAAACAAACAAACCCCAGCTTGGATGAATCGCAACATCATTGGGCAAATTTGTGTCAGAGACACTGAAATTTAAAGCATGTGCCAAACACAGTGCACTGGCAAGAACAATGTATAAAAGGGCCCGGAATCATGTTGTCAAATTAATCACCAATGCAAAGTCCAACTATTTCAAAGAAAAGATTGTAGAAAATAAAGACAACACAAAAAATCTGTGGAAACTGTTAAAACATTCAGCACCAACCAAACCCACCTCAAAAGTACCCAACATTATTTTAATTAATGGTAAATACGTTATTGATCCAGTGAAGATAGCAGACACATTTAATGAATACTTTGATAAATGCAACAACAGTGCCACCCGATCAAGAAAACTTGGCAACCTCACAATCTGAGCCTGATGTCCTCTCACAGGACTTTGTTAACAGCCATATGCCACCCTCATCACAAGATAAATTTTGTATCCCACCTATTACCAAGGAAATTGTTGAAGTGAACCTAAGAAAGATTCCTTCAAACAAGGCAACAGGTACGTCTAGATGGCACCAGTGTCCATGTGCTGAAAGCTCTACCAGTAATATCCTCAAGCCTTGTGCTTATTTATAATCATGCTAGCATCAGTAATGGCATTTTTCCTGCTGCCTTTAAAAAAAATAGCCGAAGTATTACCACTCCACAAGAGAGACTAAACACAAGAGAGGGGCAATTTACAGTCCCATATCTGTTCTACTTATACTCTCTAAACCGCTAGAAAGACACATGGCTTCTGCCTACTTACAGCATCTAACTTCGAACAATCTAGTATATAGTAACCAGTTGCTTACCGCCCATATCACTCATGTGAAACTGCTCTGCTTAATATTTCCGACAACTGGTCGAAAGCTATGGACAACAGTGAATTTGTTGGTGCTGTCTTTTTAGACCTGAGTAAGGCCTTCGATTTAGTCAACCATGCAATCTTACTTGCAAAACTTGATAAACATCACACTGGTACAAATGCAATGAACTGGTTCAGATCATATTTAACAGGTCGCACACAAGTTGTATCTGTCTCTGGTGTGTTATTCAGCCTTTCATATCCTGATGTAGGTGTACCACAAGGTTCCATCTTAGGACCACTTTTGTTTTCTATCTATATGAATGATCTACCCCTCTTGTTAAAGAACACTGAAGTTGACATTTATGCTGACGACACAATGATCTGGTTGAGCGGAACTAGCTGTACAGATATTCAAAATACTCTGAATGATTGTCTAGACAAGGCCAACAGTTGGTTTAAACTGAACCAGATGATACCAGATGATACCAAACACAAAGAAGACCAAACACCTGCTAATTGGTTCTTTACAAAAGCTAAACCACAGCAATGAGACCACAATGGAAATTCATATTGATGGCATCAGGCTGGGAGAGGCAGCAGGAGAGAGGCTGCTTGGAGTCATCATTGACCAAAATCTTTCCTGGAACTTACATCTTGACCATTTGATTAAAAAATTGAACTCTAGAATTTGTCTTCTTAAAAGAGCTAAAGCTTATTTAACCTTGGCTTGCAGAAAAATGTCATATACTGCTCTCATCAAGCCAATTCTAGAGCACTGTTGCATGGTCTGGGGTAATTGTACCGTTGAAAATCTCCAGAGTTTCAAGACTACAGAAACGATGTGCTAGGCTAATTTTGGACACCGATACTCATGAAAACTCTGTCAAGCTTTTTAACAAACTAGATTGGCTGCCTAGATGATATTAATGTATTAGGAAGCTTTATATGCTTCAAAAATAAATCAAGGACATTGCCCCACTTATTTTAATAAATACATTGAATATATAAGCAATACCTATAATTATAACAAGAGATCAGTTTCCAATAACAATATAACAACTACACCAGCAGTTTGTAAAAGGAACTTTGGCCTCAGAATGTTTCACTCAAGCACTTGTTATTTGTGGAACACTCTTAATCCAAAACTTAGGTCACTCTCTCATACAAATTTTAAAAATTACTTATTTAAACTTTACCGTAATAAGAATTCCTTTATTGATCATTTTAAGATTTGTAAAACCTTCTAGTTTTATTAGTAGTTAATTAATTAATTCATTATATTAGTTGTTCATTATATAGATTTAGTTGGTAGATTATTCTGATGATTAATTAATTAATTTAATCAATACGATTTATTACTCTTAATTGTAGGAGGGCCATTATGAAAACTACGGGGTGACCAGTAATCAATGTGTTTTTACCCTCGTTAAATAAAGTTTTCTTCTTCTTCTTCCTTCCTATTCACTAAGTTAACAACAAAAACAAATAATTCATCACTGTCTGTATTTACCACTACCTGTGCGATTTTGAGATTGTTCTGCCAGTCTGAATTAGTAAAGACATATTTTAGTAATTCTGCAAGAAGATCAGAGCAGTAGTATCAAATCTAGTTCTCTTTTAAACTTATTACGACAAAAAAGCACCACACCACGAAATGTGCCAATAAAATTAAATAGAACAAATCTTGACTATAATTTTTTTTCTTCTCATTCTACAGTATTATACAGAATAGCACTACATTCAAAGACAAAATAATTTGTAAATTTATTTAGTCATAATTAGCCTAATTCTGGCAATACCAGAAACAGTAAAATACATATCAGTTCACATAATGAAAATGATATACTGCAATGTCAACTGTAGAGCATGTTGCGTAAGAATGATACTTCAGGCAAATATTGTCTGACTCCAGGGTAATACTGCACCTGTGTTTATCGTGAACAAAAGTGATATTGATTGTGTGAGGAGCTCTGGCTTAACTAATTGGAAAGACTATAATGGCACCTGAACAAGAAAAAGAAAATTATACTTCCAGGGTTCGACACTAATGGTAGCCCACTTGCCACAGACTAGTAGAAATTCAGTGGTTTTCAGTTTCCACTGGCCAATTTGGCCGGTAAAAGAACTGAAATTGTCGTAGCATCTAAGATGTCACCAGCCACTTGGCTAGTAAGTTGGAAAGTTAGTGTCGAGCCCTGACTTCCGTTTACACAGACACATTCATGTTGTGATCCAGTACAAGTTCAATTTTTCATTCATTTTAAACCTTTGACCACTAAGAGTTACTAGCATCTAATTTCTCCTTAAAATGTCACCTCAGAATCCTACATTAAGATCATGAGAATAAAGGAAATGATCACAAACTAAAGAATCTCTTGATTGTTAAACAATTTCTCCTTGTCAGCACCCTTGGAAATGCATAAAGAAGAGTATGGAGAATATGCATACTGAGATTAGAGTGTAAAGGGTTCAAGGGAGGGACGATATGCACCCATGTATTTGCAACACTAGATTGTAATTTTGAAATTCCAGGGCTCGACACTAACTTTTCAACTTACTAGCCAAGTGGCTAGTGACATGTTTTTAGATGTTAAGGGAATTTCAGTCTGTTTACTAGCCAAACTGGCTGGTGGAAATTGAAAACCACTAGCCAAAACTGAATTTCTACTAGTCTGTGGCTAGTGGGCTACTGTTAGTGTTGAGCCCTGAATTCTGAGTAAAAGATGGAGAAACAAGCCAGGAATACCTTGAACAATTGGGAAAGGGGGGGGGGGGAGGCAGTAAGATTTCAGTCTTTGCAGCAAAGGTTTTGTTGTATGTTTTGGGGTTAAATAGGATGTGGGCAAGGGAAAATTATATTAAAATGAAAGAAATCAAAACTAGCAAGAAGCTGACAGAGGACAAGGATAACTATATGTTATATTCACCTGATTAAACCATCTTGAAAGGTTAATAAATTGTTCCTTCTCCTGGATACTGAGCTCCAGCATAAGAGGATGAAGTGCATAATATAACATGATATCAGCTAGTGTTAATTGACAGCCCACCAGATATACTGTCTTAGACAGAGATTTATCCAAATACTAAGGAGAAAATGATCAAATCAGATTTTAACAGTTGATTCTTGAGTGTAAATTTTTTTCAATCAAAAACCATTCA